GCAAAAAGACTGGAGGACTGAGAAGCGGCAACTTAAAAATTTATTAGGGTTAAATCTAAGGCTTGACAGACTTTCAAAAACTGATCTTATGCTAAGGATTAACTTTCATATTGTTATTTGTGCTATTATGAAAGTTATTGCAGCATATAATGTGACGTGTTCTTTAATATCTTTAAAGAAAACCTATCCACCAAAAAAAGGGCAAAAAATCCCCTAACAACAAACAGCAAAAATAGACCAAAGAAAGAGACTCATGAGATTTAGCTTTTTAGTCTTTTTGGCTTTATCAGGTTATAGTTAGTTAAGTTGAATATGTAAGTTAAACAGACATTATTAACCTTTTTAAGAAAAAAAGTTATGAATGTATTTTTTTAATTTCACAGAATTAAGGTTATATTTTTGGTTTTGTTTGTTTTGTTCCATAAGTTGATCAGTTGTAGGCCAAAGCTGTAAATGAACCTACCATTTTCTGCTGTTTTATATGGTAAGGGTTTCATTTTTTCTAAGAAAGTAAATCTCATTAGGATCATTATTGAAGAAAAAAGAGTTGAGCTTAAAACGTGTTTTATCATCATTTGGGCCTCAAGACTTAGATGCAACATTTTGTTACTCTTAATGTACAGTTTCTACACAGTCTGTGTGGGATCCATTTTTCATGGATATGAGATGCTGTGACTATTTTTTTCCCCCTAAGTCTTTATCAGAATGGTCTTATTGATGATGCAGAGCCTTGCCAGCCTTTGCATTTAAAATGTTGGCCATTCAATTCAAGGGTGTACTGCGCACATACTGAGAACTACAGCAGAGTGGTGTGACTAAGGTTGCAAAAATAAGCCACCTAAGAGCTAGGAGTCTAATGTAAGGCAGCATAAATGAGTAAGAAGTTGCTTGCTTTCTTACCATGGACATTCCTGATGACTTTATTGATGTGACAGCACATTGCTCTCTAACTCCGGACTCCCTACTGTTAAATTTCTTGCGTCGTGCAACGTGTGGAGTAGAGTGTAACCATGGAGTTAGTATCTATTTGACGATTCATTTCCGTATATGTGGTTGTGTGGTCTGAGGTCTTACTACTGTTACTCAAAACTTACTCTGATAAGAGTTACTAATTTTAATGGGATTTTCCGTGATATCCTGCCCGTACTCTTTAAAGTTTTTGGTCCCTGTTGCATGCACGTGGGCTTGCCTGAAGCCTTCATGCTTCCCAAGAACCATCAGAGCACCAGTGACAGCCCCAGAACTACAGATTTCTTGTTTCCAGTTACAATTCCTATCCCACACCTGACACTGGAGCAGCTGCTGCGTTCAGTAGAGCTCATCAGTGCGGGGATGTCAGAAGCACGTAGGATGGAGCAGGTGGACTGGTCAGCCTGAGGCTCCTGTTGGGGTAACAGATCCCTGGGCTAAAGGAATTGGCAGTGATCATAAAGTAGTAATGTAGTTGTAATGTAAGCTTAGTCTCTACAGTCTTTAATCATTTTCATACTGGGAATACACATAAGAATGTTACAACATGGTCCACATCTTCTGTTTTCCTTTTGGTACCAAGTAAATTGGAACAGCACTAAATTTTGTAGATTATTTTGCAGAGATATTTTGAATGTGGTTTACTGTAGAAATGCAGAAGGAAAAATTCAAGCTGACTTTCATGAATTTAGGTTTGTCTGCTGCATACGCCTAACTCTTCACTTGGTTAAAAGGGAAGCGTTGCTGTACTGGGAGCTAAATTTAGGACATACTTGAAGTAAATGTAACTTTTTCAGACTTGGGTTAAGTTTTAAAGAAACAACTTGTCAAATGCACAGTTACTTGGCTCTCCGTAAAAAATATTTGCGTTGTCGTTCTGGTTTGGGTATCCATAGAGTTACATACAGTACGTGAAAAGGGGCGAGATAGTTAATATTTTATCAATTTGAGTTTAAATCGCTAAACCCCAAAAATCTAAAAGCCATGCAGATTATCATGTTCTGTGACCAATGGAGATGGTACAGATTGATTTCCTGTAAGCCCAGTGATTGATGACCTGTGAGAGAAGAGCTTTTCTGGCAGCAGGCATATTTGAGGAATTCCCTCCCTTATATGGTTTCACTTGTAAGTCTCTGCTCAGGACAGTGCCTGGAAGATGTACTTTTGTTCTATCTGGATGCCTGTTTTTATGTAGGAGCTGAGATCGTGCCACTCAGAGGGGTTTCTTGCACTGGGGAAACCCCAGGGGAGCACAGAGGCCCGCCAGGAGCTGGCAGCTGTCACCAAAGCAGCTGATAAGACCTGTGCAGGGCCAAGAGTGACAGAGGCCACCCCCTGCTCCCACAAAGGCAGCCCTGGGGAGTGCGGTGACCAGGATGGGCAAACAGGGCATAGTGCCTGGTACTGGAGGGCATCCCCCCTCAAAGGAGAGGTGTTCCACTGGCCTCCAGTACACATAACCCCATCAACTGGGCACTGTTCTGTGACCATCTGCACAGGCCAAGGGCACTCATCCTACCTGACCCTCAAGGCAGAATGGTGTGCACTCACCTGAGAGCAAAGGCTGCAGCTGCGGCTGGGGGGTCTGCACCATCAACCCCAGCTCCCAGGAGGAGCTGCTGAAAGGTGAGGCTGCAGTGCAGGTCTCGGGCTGCAGGAAGGGCCCAGACCTTTCTCCTGGGGCAGGAACAGGCAGCAGCCCTGTCTGCAAATGTGTGCCTAGGGGTAGAACCTCCTGCAGCAGGTGCTGAACTGCAGGGGGTGGTGGGAAGGCTGTGTAACATAAGGGAGCTGAGAAGCAGCACTTCAAGGATCAGCTCCTCCAAGCTCGGGAGCGATGCATCCCAGCAAAGAGGAAGTCAGGCAGAAATGCCAGGAGTCCTGCGCAATGGACAGGGAGCTCCTGGGCAAGCTCAAACACAAAAAGGAAGCCTACAGAAGAAGCAGGGACAGGTAGCCTGAGAGGAATACAGAGAAATTGTCTGAGCAGCCAGGTATCAGGTTGGGAAAGCTAAAACCCCGATAGGACTAAATCTGGCTAGGGACATCAAGGGGAACAAGAAAAGCTTGTATAGATATGTTGGTGACAAAAGGAAGACTAGGGAAAATGTGGGCACTTTCCAGAAGGCAACAGGTGACCTGGTTACCCAGGATGTGGAGAAGGCCGAGGACTCATTTGTCTCAGTCTTCACCAGCAAATGCTTTAGCTACACCGCCCAAGTCGCAGAAGGCGAAGGCAGAGTGGCCAGCAGGTCGAGGGAGGGGATTCTCCCCCTCTACTCTGCTCTCGTGAGACCCCACCTGGAGTGCTGCGTCCAGCTCTGGAGCCCTCAACATAAGGAAAATGTCAGCTGGTTGGAGCGAGTCCAGAGGAGGCCACGAAGATGCTCCGAGGGCCGGAGCCCCTCTGCTATGGGGACAGGCTGAGAGAGTTGGGCTTGTTCAGCCTGGAGAAGAGAAGGCTCCGGGGAGCCCTTATAGCACCTTCCAGTACCTGAAGGGGGGCTACAAGAAACCTG